TTGTGTTAATTGCTTTAAATTATTTTAATGCGTTAAGAATTGTAAAATTAATTGCATGCATTAACGCGTTAACGTTGACAGCCCTAAAATATAAATATATATATATATATATATATATATATACATATATATATATAAAACCAAATTTTCATTTTTAAGCTTCTGACTGTATAATCATATAAGCCTTTTTGGGGATTATGTATTTTAAATCAAAGTGAACTCCATGAAACACAGGCTGCAGCACATCTGCAGTTTCGTTGTGCTCTTCATTGGCCACTCGCGCAGGACTCTGTGAAGCTGCACATCGGACTCCGAACAGGTGGTGCAAACAGGCGGGCAGCAGCAGGAAACCAGCTCTCTTTATACTCTCTACACAGCCTTCTGATCACCCACTCTCTCTCCCAGTCATCTGGCAAGAGCTCCAGACACGTGCTCGCTCAGATCAGCAGCACCATATGACAGGGTGCTGTTAAAGTAGGGGCAAAGACAGCGCTCATACCATCCTTATAGCACTGGATAACAGTATGGTTTACATTGGTAAGAATTGCCTCTAAACAAAACATTTGTGTGGTGCATAAATTATTTGAAAAGACTGAAAATCCAGTTGGCTCTGTTCCAAAACCTAGGCAGCATTGTAAAGCCTGGTCTATGTATGAGGGTGCACATGCAAAAAAAAAGTGACGTATATATGATTACGTGATCGCAGCACTTCCAGTAAAGCACATTGGTCCCCTCACAGGTTTGTGAGGTCGTGCAAACTTCAAATTCAGTGCATCAATCCCTCTCACCAACTTTTTTTTTTTTTTTAAACTAATCATTATCTGCCTTGTGAGATTTATCAGTTCATAGTAAATGCTGCAACACACTAACTTATTTCTGTATCTGCTCTGAGTTTGGGTTGTTTTCGCATGCATTTGGGAACAGAACCATGCACCAACCATCTTCCTAAACTTGCAATGAGAAGTGCTTATGAACTCGATGTTGTCAACAAAAGAGAAGCTTTAAAGGGTTAGTTCACCCCAAAATGAAAATTCTGTCATTAATTACTCACCTTCATGTCGTTCTAAATCCATAAGACCTCCGTTCATCTTCGGAACACAAATTAAGATATTTTTGATGAATTCTGGGAGCTTTCTGACCCTCCCATAGACAGCAAGGGTACTACCACAATCAAGGTCCAGAAACGTAGCAAGGAGATCGGTAAAATAATCCATGTGACATCAGGGGTTCAACCGTAATTTTATGAAGCTACGAGAATACTTTTTGTACGCAAAGAAAACTAAAATAACGACTTTATTCAACATTTCCTCTCCTCCGCGTCACCCTGGTGCCATTTTGGAGAATATCCACTGAACGCAATCAGCGTATGCTATTCTGTGTCAGCTGCATCACGCGGATGCGTTTTCGTTCAAATCAAAGCGTAAACAACTTAGAAAACGTATCCGTGTGCTGTGGCTGACACAGAACAACATACGCTGTTTACGTTAAGTGGATACTGATATCTTAATATAAAATAAAAATACAGGTTTAGAAAGACATGAGGGTGAGTAATTAATTAATGACAGAATTTTCATTTTGGGGTGAACTAACCCTTTAAGTACTTGCTGCTTTTTTTCTTTTTCTTTTTCTTTTTTAGACAAACTAAATTTAAAACAAATAAATTAAGATGAATTAGCATTGTAAGTGTAAAATATTATTTTTCTTAAATACTAGATTGTTTGACAGTGAAATATTACAATCATAATATCACAATAGTAATATCTTATTTTGTTTTATATTTTTATTTGTATTTAAAATAATTATATTATTTTTCTTAAATACTTACAGTGTAATACAGTGAAATATTATAATAGTTTTTCAATATTTTATATGTACTTAAAATAAAATAATTATTACATTTGTATTTTTCTTAAATACTTTTTTTTTTCTTTTACAATAAAATCTTTTAATGGTAATATTTCTTATTTTGTTAAATATTTTTGGTACATAAAATTATTGTACATAACATAATTTTTCTTAAATACTTGATTTTTTTACATTTTACTATGAAATACTACCATAGTAATATTTTATTTTGTTTAATATTTTTATTTGGTAAGAAAAATAATCATAATCAAATAGCAAAAATAATAACCATTATAATCACATCGCTATATAACCACAATGTTTTTTTTGTATAATTTTAAATTGCAATCACAATTTTATCAGAAAAATCCCGATTACTCTCCCCCACCAAATTAGAGATGGTCCTCACTGCAGAACACAAGATCCAGGCGGCGAGGCTGGATCCAGATCCAACTCCTCCCACCTTATATATACCTAAACCTACCCATCTCCACCCCCCGATCCCTAAACCCACCAAACCTACCCGTCTCCACCTCCTGATCCCTAAACCCACCCATCTCCACCCTCTAGATGTGGATCCAACCCCACCCCCTGGATCTTTGTTCTGCAGTGAGGGGCTACTACCAAATCATGCAGCCCTACCACTGACTTTAACTATATGCACAAAAACTTCTTATGTGCTCGTTTGTCTTTTGTGCATTTGGATGAACTACATTTAAAAGAGTATTAATATGCAATCTCTCACCTCGAGTTCTTGAAATTCATCATCGTCGTCATCTGCATCATAGGAGAGCGTCTGGATCTTGGCGTCTTCCATAGAGAGATCCAGCAGCTTGCTGTCGGTGAACAGAATGCAGTCTTTAGTGACAGCGGAGCTGGACGAGGCGGGGGTCATCTCATCAATGAAGGTGGTCTCGCAGCAGTCCCCCCCATCTCCCCATGCTCTCAACACGCTCTCGGGGTACAGAAGGAGGTTGGGTCTGTAGTAAGGGTCTATAGCCTGGGGCAGGGCGCTGGGGTTGAGCAACTGTGGGGGTCCTCGACCATCCGGTGTCCCATTTATGTCCTTGGACACCACATGGCCCTGGTACTGTGGGGCAGAATAGCCCGACACCAGTCCTTCCTTAGTCTCCATCATTAGGTTGTGGGTATTGATCAGACCATTACGTTTGCAACATTCATGTCCCAAGTCTGCACTCCCCGCTAATGGGGTCTTCCCTTGAGTAAGAGGATCTTTCTCATCTGCCGCTCCTGTTTCGTGTCGTGTTCGGACCCCTTTCTCCATGCTGGTCTGTTGGTGTGGAGGAAGCCTTGCCTCATGAATGGCTTTGTAGAGGCATGAGGTTCAAGTATCACTCCCCTCTTTCCTGCAAAAACCACATCAGTCTGGTTATAAAACTGTGACGGGAGAATCTGATGTCACATACATCAACAAATGTCAGAGTATAATGGAAGTAGTGGAAGAAATATGTTGGTGAATGGCTGTATATCACAAAACCTGGCAAGAGCTTGTCATATTTTACCCGAATTATATTTTGCTCAAAAGTGCACTCAATACAGGACAATTCATTTTACATTTTTGTGTATCCCCCAATTTTCAGTACCATAAATTAAAAAAAATGTGCATTACTCTCATTACTGTTGTGTGTGTGTGTGTGTGTATATACATTAAATTGTAAAACAAAAATTGAAAATTAAAACAAAAAAATGAAATTACAGACATTCACAAAAGGGTTTACCAAACGGGGTTCGTGAGGGAGCTGCATGGGTTTCATGAGTTGATGAAAAGCTAATAATTAATTACAACGGATATAAAATTAAAATAAAGAAATCACTGGGGTGGCACGATAATTGACACATTTTGGGGTGATTAGCAAATTAATGCCTGTGATTTAAGTTTTTACACTGAAAAAAAAAACCCGGTAGCATCTAAATTAACTGCATTTATTCAAGTCAAAAATATTATTTAATATCACTGAATTAATACATTAATTTATACTACCAAAACTACTTTTTATGGGTTAAATAAGATTGAAATATCTTTTTAAAGTAACAAAAAGTGAAGAATTTATTGCATAAATAGTGTAAATTGTAGTGTAAAATAAAAGTATTATTATAATATATAATATTATGTTAGTATTAATTATTAATAAATCTTAATTTTGATTTTACAATACATTTGTAACTTACAACAGTAATATATTTCAGTCATCATTTTTGTTAAATAGAATTAAAACAATCATAACAATAGTTGATTATTATTATTGTTGTTGTTATTGTGATTTATTATTATTATTTTTCCTGAAAGCCAGTGTAGGCTACATTTAATGTGGACATTATCACTCTAAAAATAGGTTTAAATCTACTTTACAGTTCAACTATTGAGAATCACCATTGACGATTAAAGGAATTAAATAAAAACACCACATGCATGACAGTAATGGGTTAAAACCTAGCTGTTATGAAACATTTAATAAGATTAATTCATTTTTAATGATCGGGCTTAATTTTCTTTATGCAAAATATTGTTGTGGTTTTTCTGAGATTCCGATGAACAGAATAAACTGTAATAAATCGGAATTCAATTTTATTGAATTTACTCTTTTTACAATCAACTGGTGGACAAATGTCTGATGTTCTCAAGCTGCCAGAAAATCATGTAGTCTTCAATAGCGACTTCATTTGTTTTTTCCTCCAAACTCTCGAAAGACTCTTGAATTGTTGTTTCCCAACCGTGTGACTGTTGGTTGCGCTTTATTTAATGCATGTCTAGGCCATTGATCTCAGACTCTGCACCACCGCATTATCCAAAACCCTTCGGCCAGGTACACACAAACTTTCTTTTCTGCTAAGTTCAGCAGTGTGCCGAATAGAAGCTGTGCCCGATGCAGGGGGCAACTAATGGGTGCACAGCATCCTATAATCTGATTTAGAGTCTACTGCCATGAGCACAGAAAATCCATCACACCATCAGCAGTATCCTGTAAGCAATTAGATGCTTCAGTGCAGGAACGTGATCGCAGCACATTGACCCTCAGTTTTTAGTGTTTTCTTCAAAATCACAGGGCCACAAGAAAAGACCGATTCATCACAGCTTTAACAAATCTGATGTCTGAATATGAGTGAATCAGATATCACAATTTAAATCAGCCCTTTAAGGGTGAAGGCATCTGTGAAAAGGATTAACACCCTAAAGAGAGCTGGATATCCTCCAAGGAAGCATATATCAGTTTAACAGGGCTGGTGTGAAACCATCAATACCACATTAAAGACTCCATGAATATAACATTAAACGCTAGCATTGGACCTATATATCAGCCAGGTCATTTAATTCAATGATATTTAGCAGTTTTCAGATCTGGGTTAGGCCTAATTGGCCTAACTGAGGTGTTTATCTCCACACTTATCAGATCCAAATTCTACTGACAGCTTTGTCAATAGATTTATGTCTCTGAGTAAATGTTTCTTTTCGGTTCATTTGTTTTACTTAATTGTATTATGTAGCCTATACTATAACAGCCACCCTGCTTTATAAATGCATTGGCCATAGAAAAACCTCCATTTGTTTACAACAACTGTATCAAATGCATAAACCAAACAGACCATGTTAGTCTGTTATTATTAGCCTCTACATGTAGGTGACTTTTTTTTTTTCTTCAAGCCTGTATGTTTAGTCTGTACAAAATACGTTATAAATGCAGATTGTTATTAAAAAGAGGCTATTATAATTGTGTTGTAATATGTGTGTGTTTTTAGTGATTGAAAGACACCAGTTAATCATTTTTAATAATCTTGTTAAACTATAAAAATATATCAAATGTAATAACTAGTTCCACAGCAATTTCTTATGATGCCCAAATAATAAATGACAACTTTTTGAAAGTCGAAGCTTTGGATTTTTCTCTCAGTAACTAAACAGATGTGAGACAATTGATTTCTTAATTCCGAGGTGTTGGGTGGCGAAAAAATTCCTTCAGTCTTTAAAAACGTAGGGTACAATGGGGCTAAAGGCCCACCTTAAGAAAAAATGTGCTATTCACTGCGCCTAAAATGTATAATTGCAGAAAAAATATATACGTTGTATTGAACATTAATGGAGCAACAGATTTTGTGTGAAAATAAATCATTCAAGTTTCTTTTGTTTAAAAATCGTATAAATGTATGAGGTGGCAAGAGGGGCCTTTTACCCCACACACGGGGTAAAAGGCTCACCAGCATGGGCTAAAACATAAAAGGCACACGGTATTGATACAAATAATTCAGCTAAAATAATGTTGTTGTTTTTTTAATAATGTCTAAGTTAATACTTGTTCAAAACAATCACTTTAGCAAAGTTTGTACTATTTTCTGCTTATATTGAAAAATAAAAGAATATTTGTTTTCAATAAATATACTGTCATTAAAATATGTTAATATAAAACATATATTTTAAAATACAGAAACAAAATCGTTTTAATAAGTAAAGATTCTGAAAGTATTGAAGGAGATCCAATAATAATTGAATATATATTTACAGTAGTAACGATACCATACTTTTACATATTTTTTCGTTATTTAAAAACTGTTGCTTTAATTACTTAAATAAAACTGAAAATCATAAGACCTTTGTCTCAAATTATATGCATTCATTTTAGCGATTCTCATTTGATCGCGATCGCGTCAAGGATCAGACAAATATACAGGTGCATCTTGAACAAAACTGAAAATCATAAGACCTTTGTCTCAAATTATATGCATTCATTTTAGCGATTCTCATTTGATCGCGATCGTGTCAAGGATCAGACAAATATACAGGTGCATCTTGAAAAGCAGATGTTTTGAAAAGTGCTACACCACGTTTTTGTGCCATCTAGTGGTTTAGATGAAAATAATATCAAAGGCGCCTTTTACCCTGGGGCGCCTTTAGCCCCGTTGTACCCTATAACTATATACGGGGGGGGGGCATGGTTCCCCCCTACATACAGATCGCATTCTGCATTCCCCTCAGTAAATAGCCTTCGGGGGGATCCCTCTCGGTTCCCCTCTTTGGTATCGCGTTCCCCTCGGTAGAAATCAACTTAAAACACTCTATCATTTATTGTCTTATTAATAATGCATCACTGTAAAATGTCTACTTTTTTTTTTGTGTACACTCACAATAAAAACAAAACATTGTGCTTTTGTAAAATAAAGAAAACAAATAGGATGTCACTTTCTGCCATTTGAGTTTCCTTTCTGTGAACAAATTAAGCGTCACAAAAATGAACTCAAACTCAGCATATATAGGCTACGTTACGTGTCGCACTGTTTTTTCCCTTGTTTATCTGTTAACTAAATCAAATATATTTAAAGCATTTATTCCTTGTATGTATATATGTACTGCAGATTTTATATATACAGTATATATATATATGACATTATAATTTAATATAATATTTAGTATTTTCACATCTAGGTGGAAAAAATTGTAATTTGTACTACTGTCCAACCCGATCTCATGAAAGTGCGTATAAATAGTACGCCAAATAAAAACGAAAACTCGTGGTATTGATACGCAAAAATGGACTTTGGCGTGTATATGCTACGCGATGGGTAGGTTTAGGGTTGTGGGTTAGATGCGTATCATATGTACGCGAAAACTGCGTATCATATGTACGCAACAAATTTCGTATCATATGCATGCGAAAACTGCGTATTATTTGCACACCAAACACATGCGTATCATATGCACGCCAAAGTCCATTTTTGCGTATCAATACCACGAGTTTTCGTTTTTATTTGGCGTACTACTTATACGCATTTTCATGAGACCGGGCTCTACTGTCTGTTCAAAATAAATGAAAAGAAATCTAGCATAGATATGTTGTTTTTTCCTGTTGTACCGAAATCGTATCGAACCGTGACCCCCGAACCGAGGTAGCCTACGTACCGAACCGTGACATCTGTGTACCGTTACACCCCTAATATATATATATAAGCTCACCTCGGAAGGTAAGTTACCAGTTCTGGAATCAACTCTATAGAACCAGGGCTGCGTTCAGCCCCGACAAAAACGGTGCAAAACGTTTTTTAAACGGAAACGGTGGTGCGTTGAACACCCTGTTCTGATGACGCAAGAGTTGCAACTATGGCAGCTGAGAAGGC